TGGGCTGTGGTCTCATCTTTGGGAGCTACAGTGTCGTCACTTGTAATTATTCTGATTGCTCCCACTGTGTTACCTTCGATTCTTTTGCTAACCTGGGTGAAAATTTTCTCGTTTTCAGTGGAACTTTTCTTGGGTCTACCTCTGTGATTCCTACGATGATGGAGCAGAGGGACACAATTATTCATTCTTGGGTAGTTGGGCACTGCCTTGATGACTGATGTGGTTAGCAATTTGCCTCGTCTTTCAGGAACTGCAAGACAGACATTACCGAACAGGAGTAGGTTGCGCCATGCTTGGATGGTGCCTCGGGCTTCTAAGTTGGTGGAACCTCCATTCACCCGCTTAAGAAGGTCTGTGAATTTTCCTCCTGCATATGGGCGACCCGCTTTAGGGATGTGGGATAGAGTACTGCTAGCAGTGAATTTGAATACCAACAGAAGGTTATCGCAAGTGAGGAGGTTGCCATTGAAATTGTCATCTGCCTGTGGAGGCTGTGGGCTGCTCTCTGCTGGGGGCATATGTGATCCCGGACACCCGCTGTGTGCACGAATGCGGCCATCCCTGTTGCGAGCTCGAAACTCCACACACCTGACATGTGCCTCTTCTTTCATTGTTGGGTGCGCTGTTTCCCTGGCTTTGTGGCTGGCTGGCTGTTTATTCTGCCATATCTCAGTGTGGTAAACCCAGGCTGAAGGCGAAATGGCGCATGGCACATACCGCATGTGGTTCATAGTGATGGTGGGGTAGAGAGGGGTATCTCGTCCTTGTGGTGGGCGGTGGAAGAAAGGGAGGAGTGGAAGATGTGTGATGAGGCTGAGTAGGGCATTCTCTCCCTCCCAGGACAAGTCACTACACCAAAATGCTCTGTGTATTATATATATATATATATATATATATATATATATATATATATATATATATATATATATATATATATATATATATATATATATTGTATATTATATATATATATATATATATATATATATATATATATATATATATATATATATATATATATATATATATATATATATATATATTAATGTCGTGCCGAATATGTAAAACTGGTCAATTAGCAAGAAGTCACTTAAAACTAAGTCCTTTCTAAAATTTTCTCTTGTACGTTTAAAGATATATTTTTTTCATTAATGTTGATGTAAAAAATTTTAATTTTGCACCAAAAGGAACTTAGAAAACTTACCTAACCTTATTATAACAAGAACAATTTATTTTAGCCTAACCCAACTAAATATATTTTAGTTTTGTTTACAATAATTTAATACTAAACAAACACAGTGAAATATATTTTTTTCGTTAGCTTCAGAATGATTTTGGCGAAATTATTGCATACACAAATTTTCACTTGTCCTATATGGCAAGATGAGCGTTGCTATTTAAGCCAAGATCGCAAGTTCTGTTTATTCGGCACGATATATATATATATATATATATATATATATATATATATATATATATATATATATTATATATATATATATATAATATATATATATATATACATATACATATATATTAATGTTGCAGTTTAAAAACTGTAGTGTATAGCACCCTTCTGACAAGACAGTGATGGAGTAAATGATGGTGAAAGTTTTTCTTTTTCGAGAATCGGCCGGTGTATTAATAAATTAAATAAAATAAAAACATACATATATATATATATATATATATATATATATATATATATATATATATATATATATATATATTATATATATATATATGAACATTTCGCCTGCTCTCGCGAATTCCTTGCATTGTTAAAATCTCTAGTAAGGCTGATGCATGCAGGGAATTAGATGAAAAGCTGTAAGCCTTCTCCCTGAAAGCTGGCTGCCTTGGATCAAACGAGTAGCGCAAGCTATACGCCAAGGTATTGTCCAGTGTGGGTAGATTGGTAAAGCACTGCGTACCTTGCTCTAAGGTTCGTAGGTTCGAGTCTCCTTCAGCCAGAGATCAGTGTTTGTGTATATTTCGCCTGCTCTCGCGAATTCCTTGCATTGTTAAAATCTCTAGTAAGGCTGATGCATGCAGGGGATGAGATGAAAAGCTGTAAGCCTTCTCCCTGAAAGCTGGCTGCCTTGGATCAAACGTGTAGCGCAAGCTATACGCCAAGGTATTGTCCAGTGTGGGTAGATTGGCAAAGCACTGCGATCCTTGTCCTAAGGTTCATAGGTTCGAGTCTCCTTCAGCTAGAGATCAGTGTTTGTGTATATTTCGTCTGCTCTTGCGAATTCCTTGCATTGTTAATATCTCTAGTAAGGCTGATGCATGCATGGGATGAGATGAAAAGCTATAAGCCTTCTCCCTGAAAGCTGGCTGCCTTGGATCAACGTGTAGCGCAAGCTACGCACCAAGGTATTGTCCAGTGTGGTGAGATTGGTATAGCATTGCGTACCTTGTTCTAAGGTTCGTAGGTTCGAGTCTCCTTCAGCCAGAGATCAGTGTTTGTGTATATTTTGCCTGCTCTTGCGAATTCCTTGCATTGTTAAAATCTCTAGTAAGGTTGATGCATGCAGGGGATGAGATGAAAAGCTGTAAATACACACACACACACACACCACACACACACATATATATATATATATATATATTATATATTATATATATATATATAATATATATATATATATATATATATATATATATGTATATACATATGTCGTGCCGAATAGGCAGAATTTGAGATCTTGGCTTAAATAGCAACGTTCATCTTGCCATATAGGACAAGTGAAAATTTGTGTATGCAATAATTTCACCAAAATTATTCTGAACCTAACGAAAAAAATATATTTCACTATGTTTGATTAGTATTAAATTATTGTAAACAAATCTAAAATATATTTAGTTGGGTTAGGCTAAAATAAATTGTTCGTGTTTTAATAAGGTTAGGTAAGTTTTCTAAGATTCTTTTGGAGCAAAATTAAAATTTTTTACATTAACATTAATGAAAAAAATATATCTTTAAACGTATAAGAGAAAATTTTAGAAAGGACTTAATTTTAATTGAGTTATTGCTAATTGACCAGTTTTACATATTCGGCACGACATATATATATATATATATATATATATATATATATATATATATATATATATATATATATATTATATATATTATATATATATATATATATAATATATATATATATATATATATATATATATATATATATATATATATATATATATATATATATATATATATATATATGCAAAAATTCCATTATTTTACGAAATAATATATTAGACATATCGATGAAATTTTCAATTATTTAATAACCAGATTTTCATTTCAGCTGATTTTAAACAGCTTATTAGAAATAATTTCCATAACAAAAGGATAATTAGTGTTTCGAGGGCTGATGTTTGTGCTTCTAAGTGATCCAGCGACTGTCCGCCTCTTCTTACAGCACAAGATAGACATTTTAGAGCACACGATAGACCTTAATTAGCCCTTTCAGCAAGATGTACTGAAGGGTTCTGTCACTTTATATATATTTTTTCTGTCACTTTCATTGGCCTCCATTAAATGGTCCTAACCAAAACATCACCGAAAATGTCCCTGAAGACGTTTGCCACAGGAATGGCCCAATTTAGTGACGCCATTTCAGCGCTTCCATAGTTTCTAGACTGGAATTTTCGGATCGATATTTCTAATAAAAATAATTATATTGAAAAGAACCAGTTTAGGTAAGGTTAGGTTAGATATCTGGGTGCCGTTAACCTAGCAGTAACTAGACACCTGGTTGCTGTTTATCTAGCAATAACTAGATACCTGGGTGCCGTTAACCTAGCAGTAACTAGACACCTGGTTGCTGTTTATCTAGCAATAACTAGATACCTGGGTGCCATTAACCTAGCAGTAACTAGATACTTGGGTGCTGTTTATCTAGCAATAACTAGATACCTGGGTGCCGTTAACCTAGCAGTAACTAGACACCTGGTTGCTGTTTTTCTAGCAATAACTAGATACCTGGGTGCCGTTAACCTAGCAGTAACTAGACACCTGATTGCTGTTTATCTAGCAATAACTAGATAACTGGGTGCCGTTAACCTAGCAGTAACTAGACACCTTGGTTGCTGTTTTCTAGCAATAACTAGATACCTGGGTGCCGTTAACCTAGCAGTAACTAGAACCTGGTTGCTGTTTATCTAGCAATAACTAGATACCTGGTGCCATTAACCTACAGTAACTAGATACTTGGTCTGTTTATCAGCAAAACTAGATCTGTGCCGTTACTAGCAGTAACTAGATCCTGATGCTTTTCTTAGCAGTTACATGGCTGCAAAAAGTAAGCAAGCACTTTTTAGAAAACTTTCGGTCATGCGATCTTGATACTCAGCACACATGCTAAAAGTAGCATATGTAGGCTGAGAGTGAGTGTGTATGTCGCTATGAGCACTGAGCTGAAACGATGAAAACTATAACTGACTTGAACCGAGCTGAGGTACAACAATTGCTGCTCTGCTAAAACACTGTAAAAAAATCCAGAATGCATTGTTTTGTTTAATGTTATATAAGGCATCTGTTAAGTGGTTTAGAAAAATCGACAAGTTGAAGAATGTGACACTTGTCCAACATTTGGGAATCGTTTTTTAAGGAGACGGTTAGCCACACAGTGGCTTCATCAGTCCAGTATAATGAAGAAAGGTGGGAAAAAAAGGAGGAGTTTGAGGTAATCAGTCCCTCAGCTTCAACCATCTGACTACATTATATAAGCCACTGCTGTGCTATACTTTCTTCAAGACTGGCGGACTGAAGATCGATTCAGCCCCGAGGGAGTGATTACCTCAAACTCCTACTCTTTTCCACCGTTTTTCTTTGTATTGGACTGATGAACCCCCCGGCTGGCTAAACGCTTCCCTAATAATGATTCCCAAATGTTGCACAAGTGTCTTATTCTCCAATAAAATGCATGTGCACATATATATTTTACGTCTCTTCATTTCTATAGGATGTAAAATAAAGTCTGTGGCAGTATATATTTTTTTATTATCTTTGTTTATATTTGTTTGCAACAGAACAATGAAATGATATCCACGGACCAACTATCGCAGATATGTGAAGGTTAGATGAGCATAATCTCAGAGATGCTGAGGTGGGAGAAATTGCAGAGTGAAAATGCTGGCTGGTATTTGGTATCTTAAAATGGAGGATGAAGATTAAAGATTGAAGATGCCGAACCTGTGTTTGCTGTTAAGGCAGAACAGGTTGCGTGACTGGATATATGTTTTTTGTCTTCATTCATGGCTCTTTCATACTTTTTCCATCGTTCTGTGTCTCGCAGAATTCGTCAACATAGAGGTGACTCCGGGGTAGCTGGGGCAGTCCATGTTTATCCGTAGAAACCGCCAAAGCCACGACGGAACCCGCCAAAGCCACCAAATCCACCGCGATACCTCCAGCGTGGGTCAGCATAGGGGTCCGGGAAAGCCAGGGCGTCAGGGCCTGGCATGGCTATGGCAGACCCTATCAGGGCGGTCAGGGCCACCACCACAATCAACAACAGACACAGCTGAAAAAGAGCAAATAAAATGTATGCACTGTATTTAATGTGATAGGCGATAGTTGAGGATCTTTATCGTTGAAACGTATCGTCTACGCAGTAAGCTTCTTAAACACTGCCTAAGCCTACTGCATAGGGGAAACGTTGCAAGAAAAGTCACTCAATTTGCACGTGTTTTGCTCACCAACTTGTCAGTATTGCCAATACCATTTTGATAATTATATGTACAGGAGTACCCCACTTTACAGCGCTTTGTTTTACAGTGTTTCACTAATGCAGCGGTTTTTCAATTACACCCATTCTTCATTTATTCAGACTTCCTACACTAAATGTTTACACACACCATAAGCTAAGGACGAAAATAATTTAAGGTAAGTAATGAGTGTACTGTATATTCAGTTTTTTAGGTCAGACTCTATTGCTCACTTAATATATGATAGTGTAAAGTTGTTATCAGGCTTCTATATACAATTGAAAGTGAAAAAAGGTCTATGTTTCACTTTACAGCGATTTTTCGCTTTACAGCAGTAGCCCGGAACCTAACCTACTGTATATGCCGGACCCTACTGTATTTCGTGTATTATCATCGGCTCTGTTGTATACACAGTACGTTTCTTCGTTTATTTAATGAATAACTTACACCTTCATAAAGAAACGATAAAAAAAAGCATCACAAACTCGTAAGACAACATTAACAATGTGTTCTGAAGACTTCTCCTCGACTGATATGATAAATCTATGGAGAAAATTATTAAAATTTGAAGTTTTCCTCATAGATGACCATATAACAGAAAAAAATATGTGTATCAAAGAGAATTAAGGTGTGTGATTAATGTGTATCGTAAAAAAATCGTGTTAGTTAATACCGTGATTGGAACAATACAAAAATAACCCGCATGTAAGAGAACGAAGCTTATGACAACGTTTCGGTCCGACTTGCATCATTAACTAGAAACCCGATAATGGTGTTTAAGTCGGACCGAAACACCGTCATGAGTTTCATTGTCCTATGAGCGGGTTATTTTTTATGGCTGTGTACTTATCCTTTACCTTTCCTTGGGTCGAACCTAATGGTTTCCAGTTCGCTATGCCCAGGACGACAAAGATACGTTCAGTTCACCCTCTTGATTATCACGCTAATGTATATTGAAGAACGTAAGATGGAATCTTTCATGAAACACAATTAGGTAAGACACGACTCTTACAACTCCTGAATGGAGAATCCGTCAGTAAATCCACAGCTTGAAGATGCTGGTAAAGAGTTAACTAGTTTACCAGAGTGAAGACCCATCACTTCACGAGAGTCACTAAGAACACAATCCAACCTACACTACCATCAAGGATACTTTAATTAATCCCAAAGCCCTACTGTTAGGGCACTCAGCTCACACACTGAGGTCCGTGATTCCATCCCCGGTACTGGTGGAAACATTTGGGAGTGTTTCCTTAAAACACCTGCTGTCCCTATTCACCTAGCTGCAAAAATAGGTACCTAGGTGTTAGTCGACTGGTGTGGGTTGCATCCTGGAGACAAAACTAATCTAAATTGCCCGAAATGCTTTGCATGACAAATGGCTTTCTATATAGTGTGTCACTGATGTCAGCTATGATCTGTACACGTTGTACATGCACTTGTAGAAATAAAGATTATTATTATTAAAACGATATGGACACAACAAACTCTCAGTATGACTCACGAAATCGTAACGACACGATTGCAAATAAACCATACCACGGGCGGGGATAAAACCCGCGATCAGAATCATAAAACTCCAGGCCGACGCGCTAGCCACTGGGCCAGCTAGCCCAGGGACTAACACGTCGGTTTGGATTTTTATGACTCTCTGATCGCGGGTTCCAACCCCTCCCATGGTATAGTTTCCTTGCAAACTCCCAGTACTATATGCCAATAAATAACAAAAAGGCACAATACCGTGACTGGAACGATACACAAATAACCCGCACATAAAAGACAGAAGCTTACGACGACGTTTCGGTCCGACTTGGACCATTGACAAAGTCACACGTTGACTGTGTAAACCTGGCCAGCTGCAAGCCTTTATATATCCTCCCAGGAAACGCCATTACAAGCTCGGCTCCTCCCTACACGGGGATAGATACACAACTCAGTGCGTTTACATAAACCACGTACAAACGCATCTTTTAAGACAGGGAGTGAAGTAAACTCAGAGTGCAAGAAGCAGACAGACAGATGAACAACTCCCCCCGAGTGTCCACATAAAGTGTACTCACAGCTTTCATGTCGCCGGCTGCGGTAAAGTCGAGACGAGAGACAGAGAGAGAGGAGCTTATCTTCACGTTGACTGTGTAAACCTGGCCAGCTGCAAGCCTTTATATATCCTCCCAGGAAACGCCATTACAAGCCCGGCTCCTCCCTACACGGGGATATTTTCAAATTCTTCAAACCAGTTCTAAGCTGCTTATCATTAGGGGAAAAAAAAAGTCTGTTTTTATGCACAAATTTACGTTTGAAAACACGTGTTATGTATTGATAAATATTCGTGTTTTCTTTTCGTCGTTGCTTAATCAAAATAAGTGTTTTGTGTCGTTGTATGAGCCTGACAACAACAATAATAATAGCAACAACAATAATAACAACATCAATAACAACAATAACAGCAACAGCAATAACAACACAACAATAATAACAACAACATTAATAACAACAACCCCAAAAAATAACAGTATTAACAAAAAACTATAATAATAACAAAATACAATAACAATAGCAATAAAAGTAATAACAAGGCACAGGCTGAAGTTATCGGATCCACTTCTAGTATTAACGGAAGTCCCATGATATTTTTCCCCTTCTTTCTCTTCGACATTATTTCTCTCATAACTCGACACAGACTTGATAAAGCTCCTGGAGAGCGAAACGTTGCCAAAGTAAAATGTCACATAGTTGCCCTTGTGTCATTTTACCTAACATATTGTCGATGACTCTACCAACATTAATATACGTTCAATATATTTTAATTTATCTCTTATGAGAGGTTTTAATATTTATTGGCTGATGCATCTTAAAACCAGGATAATGTACTGTTAAGTCTCGAGAAAATACAAAAGTCACAATATCGTGCCTGGAACAATGCACAAATAACTCGCACATAGGAGAGAGAAGCTAACGACGACTTGGTAAATGTGACTTTGCAAATGGTTTTCTCTCTCCTATGTGCGGGTTATTTATGTATTGTTCCAGTCTACATAAGTATCGGATGTGAAAATTGAGATATCCGAGGATGCGGATGTGTATGAGATGTTTTACTTATTTTGCGGATGCGGATGTAAGAAACTGTGCGGATGTTTCGAGGATGTTGATTCGGATGTAAGAAATTGTGAGGATATTCCGCGGATGCGGATGCGGATGCGGATGTGGATGCGGATATCCGATACATCACTATTCCAGTTATGATATTGTGCCTCTTTAATTTTTATTTGGTTACCCTAGGTTAAATCAACTTAATGTTATTCTATGTGTCTATAAGATTCTTGTTCTCTTAAGATCATTAAGGACATACTCGGCTTACATTAAACTTACGTACTTTCGTTTTTTTAGAAACTGGTCAGTCTTATAGATAAGTTGGGATTGATTTTTAGCCTCTGTAGATCACAGTTCTCTTCTTTTTATTGAAGAAACTCGAAAAGTGGAAATATAACTTTACACGCAAAGAACTAGTTAGTTAATACCAGTACTGTACTTCAGAGGCTTAACCCCTTAAATGAAGTACCTAGGTGTTTGTGAAGAGCTCTTCATCCAAGGCAACGAATCAGTCTTCCGTTTACTTGGATTGAATTTGGTGTTTTTCAATCCCCCCTCCCTCCCCCAATGAGCAAAATGATTATTAACATTAAAAATTATTTAGAGACTTAATATGGTTGGACGTTTAAGGAAAACTCTGTCAGTCAAAACATGTTTCTCACAGTTTTTAAACAGAGAATCTCTCATTAGGTTTATGGCATGAACTTAAGGTTAAAAGTTCTCCACGTAATGATACTTAAAATCTGTTCGTTATTGCCATGTTGTTGGAAACAGAAGTCGTGTTGTCGCAGCCGCCCATCACAGCCTCGCTCCGCCCATCACCTGGACTCCTCACACTCACAAAACAGGTTCATTGCTGCGTAGCATCGAGGGTTCCAAGTTGACTTTATTTTATGTATAGAAACATGTCGTAAATTAAGTTTAAAGTTCGAAAAATAACATTTTACGGTTCTCAGATCTTTTTCTTGTGTAATGTGTTGTATATCGGATATCTATCAGTTTTCATTAACATTACGATGACAATCGCACTTAGAGCACCAACAACAACAACAACACTAACAACAACAGACACAATAACAACAACAGCACCAACAACAATTCTCTTGTAGAATACAATTAATTCAAGGGTACTGAGTCTTGTATTTTTAGTACAAAAATAGATATTAGTCCTTGTATAAAGGTGCAGTCATAAGATGGTAAAATTCATTGAATATATTGGTGTCCCGTAACTCGGTAGCGCACTCAGCTCTCACACTGAGGTCCATGGTACGATCCCCGGTGCGGGTGGAAAATTGGGGCATGTTTCCTTAAGACACCTGCTGTCCCTGTTCACCTAGCAGTAAGTAGGTACCTGGGTGTTAGTCGACTGGTGTGGGGACAAAATTAACCTAATTTGCCCTAAATGCTCTGCATTTCCTGGTCACAGTCCGGGCCGCGGGGGCTTCGACCCCCGAAACCCTCTCCAGGTATACTGTAGGTATATCAAGGGGCTTTCTATATAGTAGTGTCACTGATGTCAGTTATGGTCTGTATAAGTTATATCATGTACCTGTAGAAACCAAGATTATTATAATTATTATTATTGTTATTATTATTATCATTATAAAAATAATAATAATAATAATTATTATTATTATTATTATTATTAATATTATTATTATTATTATTATTATTATATTATTATTATTGTTATTATTATTATTATTATATTATTATTATTATTATTATATTATTATTATATATTATTATATTATTATTATATTATTATACTGTAGATAGGAAAAGGTTGAAAATACACATTTCTCTTTAGGGTGAAACACAAATTATCCCAGAATAAAAGGAAAATAATTGATCCATATACAATATATATCCAGGAAACAGGATGCTGAATCTGAGAAGGACCTGCCTAGCACGGGTCAGTAAGCTTGCTGCAGTATACCTTCGTCCTTACGTTGTATGGTTCTAATGCAAGAAATAACTAGGATGAGGCAATAACTATTTATGTATGTCATCAGATCTAAGACGTAACTGACTCGGTTCTAGGATGATCTATGTTGACATTCATAGGTTGAAATACAACCTCTTCGTCCTCTCTACTTAAGGTTCACTGCCTTTCAAGAATGTGGGGGGATTTAGCATAAAGGGAATTACCAACAGACCTCTGCCTGCCTTCAAGACGCCTGGCTGCCTTCAAGACCCCTGGCTGCCTTCAAGACCCCTGGCTGCCTTCAAGACCCCTGGCTGCCTTCAAGACCCCTGGCTGCCTTCAAGACCCCTGGCTGCCTTCAAGACCCCTGGCTGCCTTCAAGAATCCTGGCTACCTTCAAGACCCCTGGCTGCCTTCAGACCCCATGGCTGCCTTCAAGACCCTGGCTACCTTCAAGACCCCTGGCTGCCTTCAAGACCCCTGGCTGCCTTCAAGACCCCTGGCTGCCTTCAAGAATCCTGGCTACCTTCAAGACCCCTGGCTGCCTTCAAGACCCCTGCTGCCTTCAAGACCCCTGGCTGCCTTCAAGACCCCTGGCTGCCTTCAAGACCCCTGGCTGCCTTCAAGACCCCTGGCTGCCTTCAAGACCCCTGGCTGCCTTCAAGAATCCTGGCTACCTTCAAGACCCCTGACTGCCTTCAAGACCCCTGGCTGCCTTCAAGACCCCTGGCTACCTTCAAGACCCCTGACTGCCTTCAAGACCCCTGGCTGCCTTCAAGACCCCTGGCTGCCTTCAAGAATCCTGGCTACCTTCAAGACCCCTGGCTGCCTTCAAGACCCCTGGCTGCCTTCAAGACCCCTGGCTGCCTTCAAGAATCCTGGCTACCTTCAAGACCCCTGGCTGCCTTCAAGACCCCTGGCTGCCTTCAAGACCCCTGGCTGCCTTCAAGACCCCTGGCTGCCTTCAAGACCCCTGGCTGCCTTCAAGACCCCTGGCTGCCTTCAAGAATCCTGGCTACCTTCAAGACCCCTGGCTGCCTTCAAGACCCCTGGCTGCCTTCAAGACCCCTGGCTGCCTTCAAGACCCCTGGCTGCCTTCAAGACCCCTGGCTGCCTTCAAGACCCCTGGCTGCCTCCAAGACCCCTGGCTGCCTTCAAGACCCCTGGCTGCCTTCAAGACCCCTGGCTGCCTTCAAGACCCCTGGCTGCCTTAAAGACCCCTGGCTACCTTCAAAACCTCCGGCAGCCTTCAAGACCCCTGGCTGCCTTCAAGACCCCTGACTGCCTTCAAGACCCCTGGCTGCCTTCAAGACCCATGGCTGCCTTCAAGACCCCTGGCTGCCTTCAAGACCCCTGGCTGCCTTCAAGATCCCTGGCTGCCTTCAAGACCCCTGGCTGCCTTCAAGACCCCTGCTCTGCCTTCAAGACCCCCGGCTGACTTCAAGACCCCTGGCTGCCTTCAAGATCCCTGGCTGCCTTCAAGACCCATGGCTGCCTCCAAGACCCCTGGCTGCCTTCAAGATCCCTGACTGCCTTCAAGACCCTTGGCTGCCTTCAAGACCCCTGGCTGCCTTCAAGACCCCTGGCTGCCTTCAAGACCCCTGGCTGCCTTCAAGACCCCTGGCTGCCTTCAAGACCCCTGGCTGCCTTCAAGACCCCTGGCTGCCTCAAGACCCCTGACTGCTTCAAGACCCTTGGCTGCCTCCAAGACCCCTGGCTGCCTTCAAGACCCCTGGCTGCCTTCAAGACCCCTGGCTGCCTTCAAGACCCCCGGCTGCCTTCAAGACCCCTGGCTGCCTTCAAGACCCCCGGCTGCCTTCAAGACCCCTGGCTGCCTTCAAGACACCTGGCTGCCTTCAAGACCCCTGGCTGCCTTCAAGACCCCTGGCTGCCTTCAAGACCCCTGGCTGCCTTCAAGACCCCTGGCTGCCTTCAAGACCCCTGGCTGCCTTCAAGAATCCTGGCTACCTTCAAGACCCCTGGCTGCCTTCAAGACCCTGGCTGCCTTCAAGACCCTGGCTGCCTTCAAGAATCCTGGCTACCTTCAAGACCCCTGGCTGCCTTCAAGACCCCTGGCTGCCTTCAAGACCCCTGGCTGCCTTCAAGACCCCTGGCTGCCTTCAAGACCCCTGGCTGCCTTCAAGAATCCTGGCTACCTTCAAGACCCCCCTGCTGCCTT